CCGCACTGCCATTTTGAAATAGTTGTGCAGCGCTGTGATGCTGATGCTGCTGCCGCTGTTGCTGCTGCTGCTGTTGGTGATGGTGCAGCCGCTGTAGTGCGGCATCATTGAGCGAAGCCACCGAAAGTGCCGACGGTGTTTGGCGGCCACTACTGTTAAGGCTGCTGTAGGTGTGCGTGTAGCCACCGCCAGCGGCAGGTGAATGAGTTTGTGTCGATGCGCCACTATTGCTGGGGCTGAGTACACCGACGCTGGTGGGCGTGCGTGGTGTGGGTGTGTGGCTGGCGCTCAGATTGGTGCAGCTAAGAATCATAACGGGCGAATCATGCAAATCGGGAAGAGAGGATGAAATGGAAGTGCTGCCGGCGATGGTTTTGCTGAATTTGACGGCGCATGTTGCGGCGTTTGGGGTAGGCGTCGCCGTTGACGCAGCGGAATTAAATTGTTGCTGGTGTGGTGAGGTTATTGCTGTGTTGTTGGTGCTGCTGCCAAATGTGTCGATAGACTTGCGTGTCTTGAAGAGGCGCATAATTTATATTGCTATCCGGCTAAGTTTTTATGGACCAACTTTGTCAGTTGGTGGTTGTAGCAAACGAAGCCGGAGAGTTTGGCACTGCAAAAAAGGAATTAGAAAATAATTAGCAATTTTAAACAAAAGAATGCTAATTGCAACGTATTTATTTATTAATACGTTATTAATGGATAGTATTATTTACCATACATATATAGATTATTTTTAACTTTTAAAGAATAATCTACTATTTTCATTCATATATTTAATTTAACGAATTACTACAAATCGATTTTACGCAAAAAACCGAAATTATGCCAGCGCAAAATTTTGCCGTCACGCTTGAGAACAGTTTATTTCTAGTATTCCCTTTGCATTTTCACAGCACGTAGCAAGGAACACTCTCACCTTTTTTGCATTGAATAAATAAAAGAATCGAAAACAAAATTCTCATGAGAAAAAATGTTGCACATGCAACCAAGCATCGGACGCGCCTGCAGTCATTGAACGACCTCAAACTGCATTCCCTCTACCGCTACCGCTCCTGCGCTTTGCTGTTCAAAGCCATTTTTTTCATTATTAGGTCGATTGCTTCGCACCGCAATTCGGCGGTGGTAATGGACAGGAGGGCAGCCGGCCGGTTGCAAACCGCACTGGATCGTGCAATAGCTCGACATGCCACATTACATACATGCATACACATACACACATACCAACATAGATTGTGGTAAGAATTTTGCGCTGCCACATTTTTGCTGCTTTAATTTTCGTACTCAGACTACTTCAAGCATTTTGTTTTCTACTTGTTGCATGCCGCAAGCGCCACTGCACCGAAGCCAAGCTACCAGCCAGCACGTGCAATAATTTTTCTATGTTGCCGACAAGCGATTACTAGCCGGCAGCTGTGTGGAATGCAATTCTTTTTACACTGTGTTGGCAGCGGAGCAGGGGCGTAAGCATGCAGCATATGCCACAAATTATACTAGTTCTTTTATGCTCGCCCGCGCCGCTTTGGCAGTCTGCCTTAAGCATAGACTTCTTGTTCTGACTTCAGGTTAAAATGTTGTGGTCGTTTTTTCATTATTATTATTTTTTATCTGAGGAATAATAAAAACATGAAGAAACACAAATAATTACGAATTTATTTCATGCTGCGACGCCTGTACAGGTACACAAATACATACATATATACATATGAGGTGATATTTTCACACCTATTTGCGGCTGTTGGCATTCTCTTTCTGTTTGCTGTTGCAAATACAAAAAATTTATTTTTATGTGTGTATGTGGCTGGGTATATGTACATGAATGCAATACGTATGTATTTATGTATATATGTACATTAGGCTGGGTCGATTTTGTATGGGGGAAAATAAAAGTCATTTGACCGCATTGTAATAGTAATATTATGATGTCTTAGGTCTCAGCCAATTGTTATTGGCTACGAAAGATTAATTTAAAACTTATCTTTAGCCCGCGCAATTGAATCAAAGTGTATGAATTTCGAAAATGAAACTTTGGCTTGTAATATCTATGGAATGCGTTATTGTTATAAACAGGACGATATATCAAATTAAGGGCTATTAAATTTAGAACCCCACGTTCATTTACCATTTTTCAATAAGTCTACACGATTTTAAGATATTAAAATAAAAAATAAAGAAAACTATGATTTTCCCATATGAATTTTCAATTCTTCATTACTTCAGCAACCAAGTGAAAAATACAAAAAAGTTGGACGAGATTTATTTCAAACCTTTTAACCTTTTATATATAATGTTTAATATTATTAAAATGACCATGGACTTGGTCACGCCGATTTGGTCAGTTTTCAAGATCGTGGTGAATGAATGTATTGTCAAAGATTAGGAATCATTCGACAAGTTAATAGTAGTTTCAAACATATAAGTATTTACATATAAGTATTTATATTATATTGCTTTGCATTCAGCTTGAACGAAAAAAGTCACTCGCTGACACAATTTTCTGTAATCCGGTTCTTTTATTTAAAGGTTATTTATACAATTGAAGAGAAATTTTTTTAAGAAAAAAACTTGAAATCCACTAAAGTTTTTCGATATAATTTTGGTAAATGTTACTCGATCGGTGCGTAATAATTAACAAATTGAAGGCGAGACTTAATGTTACTGATTTTTGATAATAATATGACTAAAATAGTTCAGATTATAAACAAATTATTTTAAAATAAAAAATATCTTGAACAAAATTTTTTATCATTTTCTTATATTTGCAATTTTTATTTTGTATACATAAACATAAGTAAACCAATTAGTGTGTCTAGAAGTTGTGCCTGTTCAGTGTTTCCATACTAATTTGCATAAACAAAATTTTTCCGCGATGATGGAAAATAATGGCTATTCTATTAGAGCTACCGAAATTTTTCCTAAATTTGCAAAAAATCGCAAACTATAGCTAATATTAAAAAAGGATTAGAATATTTGGAACTAGCGATCTAAATGCACGCCAGCAATATTAATGTTGTTCTTTACATCTTTTGACTATAGGCCAATGCAATTATCAAGAGAACAATTAAAATTTTCTTGAAAATAGATGAGTTTGAGATTAACGATAAGATAAAGGGCTGCGCGAAATGATACTTGACTTTATCTTTTGCGTTAAAGGATTCATTATCTAATAATATGCACCAAAAGTTTTGGCTAAACCCAGAATTTTTAACAAGAATTGATCTTATTCGACTAGTGTGCTGTGGGTCACTTGGCGGTCGATGCGCGGGCTCTTACAATTAAAATGAAAGATTAATATTTCGCAGGCTTGTTGTTGACTTCATGATACAATATATTTTCACTATTACCAAGGGATTTGAGAAAAATTAGATTTTCGACCCGCCCTAATGTACATATACGTGCTATTTGTTTCCTTTTTTCGGTCATGCTAGTCAAATAGGCTTTATTGCTGTGGAGAACTGGCAAGTCCGCATTCTTTTAAAGGTTGCCAACTTCAAAGTGAATTGCCCGTAAGCATGTATGTATTGTATTTGTTGCTGTTGTTTTGGTCTATATTATGCAGGCTAAAGTACCAGTAGGAAAATTAGACCTTTTATAAAACAGTGTACTTAAATTCTTGACAACGATTAAAAAATCGGACTTTTTATAGTTTGGTATGAAGTTATTGAACTGTTCCCACTTTTGTAAACTAAATAAAATATGATTTCAGCAAATATTTTACATAAAACAGCTACAAAATCAATTAGAAAGCCTGCGAATGACTTTTTGCTTGTTTTTCAACTGTTCTCACTTTAAAAAAGTTAGTTATTTATTGCGACTGCTGTTTATTAACAATCTTTCGTAAAAGGTGTATACATTTTAAAAATCGGCGTATGTGTTTTTTATTAAAAACTAATAATAAGAGCATTTTGAAATTTATTTAGATGAATAGCTTAAATGGGTTTTATAGTTGACATATAACATAAATTTCTGCCGGGTCTTGGGTACCCTTCTTGTATTTTCTTGTGCTTCACAAATAATCTTTAATACTTCATCAATTATGTCTTACGAGCTGTGAGGTGCGTATATCCGTATATATAAGCCAGCAATGCTTACGGCAAGTGGCTTGTGGATTTACCTTCGTCGGATCGCATCAACGTCTGCCCGCCTGCCCGCCTGCCCGCCTGCCCACTCGCTGCTGTGTCAGAATCACCGCTGCTAACTCTCCCTCTCACTACTGTTCTTAGGCTTCTATTTCATAGGCATAGGCTGAGCGCTGTTTTTGCAACCTCAGCAATTTTCGCATTTTTACTTTTATTATCGCACTTTTGCTTGCCACTAACTTGCTGTTATTATTGCTGGCACATACGTACATACAAATATTTACTATATTTTTGGTTTCTCTACACACACATTTCTGTAACCACTTGCACGCAAATTGCGTTCGTTTTCTTTTGCATCGCCGCAACGCGTCAACAATGTGGGCGTGCGTTGCAAACCGGCATTTTTTTTTGCTGTCGCTCTAACGCAACAAAAGCAGTTAAAATGCTTGCCTTGCCTTGCTTGCCGGGAATACGCAGCAATTGTGGAATTTACAACATTCTTTCCACTTCTTGACTTTATTATACGTAAGTTTTTATATACATCAATGTATGTTTTTTTTTTAATGCGGTTTTTTCTTTTTTTGTTTACCTTTTGTCTGGGTTACGTGTGGAATTTCGGTTTTGGAACAACGTACTCACTACTCACTGGCATTCTGAGGTCGTTTGTTGAGGCTGTGGCTATTTTGGTTGCTGGTGCTGGTTTATGGCTGCTGTGGTTGGTCGTTATGTCTGTTATGGTCTGTTGCGTCATGGTTTTGGTATGCTGCATGTGCTCGATCGCTTTATCTAGGTAGTTGCGTTAATATTTGTCTATCTTTTTCGATATTGAAAAATGAAAGTGCGAGCTGTTGCTCTTTTTTTTAACAAAACTTATGGTAAACCTCGATTTTATTTAAGAAAAATTAACCGCCAAGCAATATTATGAACTAACTAAGCAGTTTTATGAACTCTAACGAATTCTTTAAAACTGTTCCCACTTTTTATAAACTGTTCTCAAAAAACTTTTTTATTATTTTTCATAAACAGCAATAACCCTATACATTGTATTAAAAAAATGAAGAAATTAATGCGCCTCTGCATATAAAAAACTATTCCCAGGCAAGAAATTGCTCAAATATGCCACATGAATTGAAAACCTGTTACTAGAAGCTAAAAATAAATTGTTTGTCCATTATTTTTTATAATTAAATATGTAACAATTTGCATTTTAGACGCCACATGACACATTCTATGCAGCTCCTCAGTCTTGCATCCTAAACTTTCATAAATACCGGCTGGCAAATACATACATACATGTATTGCCATGTGTGTATGCGTTTCTGCTATCGCATCAACTAGCTGTAATTTAAACTTTTTTATTGCAACTCACAGCAGTCGATGTAACAACAATACAGTAGCCACAGCAGCAGCTATGCTAGCGATGACTATGTCGATGGCATGCCATACAAACAGCCCGGATTACCATGAGTTATTGGCGGTCGCAGAGGGTGAAGTTGGGTATGCAAGTGCAGGCAACACGATTCTTGCAGGCAAC